GCAGGGGCTCTGGTGTCAGACCGCCTGAGGTTCCTTCTGCTCCAAGGAGGAAATGAAGGAACGAGGTGGCCCAGGTGCTCCAGCCTGAAGCACAGACCCCGTGCAATTTTCTCTCTCTCAGCCTTCCTGCTCAGTTTAACAGACTGCCTTCAACTCAACCCTGACCCCAGCACTTAGCAGCAGGGCAAGCAGTCACAGGGAGCTTGCCTGTGTGCCCACAAGGGGTGAGGGCCCCGAGGAGGCAGAAGAAAGCCACCTGGGGAATGTGTGCGATGTCGCTGGGGTCTGCAGCACATCAGGGCCCAAGTGTGGGGCTGCCACTTCCTGGTGAGCACCCAAACCACTGCAATGCTGCTACAAGGCAAGGGCATGCTCCCATCCCGTCCTCTGATGCTGCCCTCACAGATAAACTAGCTGCTCTCCGCAAAGGTTCCCGGTGCCCCTGAACACTGGGTAGGTCCAGGCCATGCCGACTGTGGCCATGGCTGTCCGTACAGGTCAGGCTGTGTGTCATGAACCAGCTGCTGCCTTTATAAATCAGAGCCCCAGCAAAAGCGCGCTAGGATACTTCTGCAAACTGCAGTCTCAGATTGTGCTGAATCAAACTGAACTATCCAACACAAGCAATGCAAAACGACAGCTTTGTAGATGAAAAACTTAATAACGTGGGGAGAGTATGAGAAACTAAATGAGAGATGCAAAGAAGTTACTGACTGCTTCTGTGCTCGTTTTCATTCAGAAGGATTTAAGCCTTTTGTAAAGATAAATTAGTGAAGCAGTCTATCAGGGGAAGGCTTTGCTAAGATGGTAATAAAAAACAATGTCAGAGTTAGGCACACTCCTTTGAGAAAATTACTACAAATTACTGTGCTGAAGAGCTGTGTAAAACACAGCTTCCCCATGGACTGCTTACAGCAAGCTAAGTCCAAAACACACGGGCAACTGGGGAAAAAAAACTTAGAAACAAGTTTCTCAAACAGATTCTCAACAAATTAATCTCTCTCAGCATCTCTATGACCGTGGCAGATGCACGATGGAAACTGACGCCCTCTGTCACTACTCCCAATTGCTGTAGGTGAATGCGGCAGTAAAGCACACATTTATCTATCTGACCACCTACAAGGACCTAAGTGTTTCAGAACACAACTATTTCTAATGAAGAAAGCACAGACCCAACTATCCAGAGCGCGTGGATAATGACCTGCACAAATCAACTGCTCATCTTCCTTTAAAGCTTTTCCTTCTCCTTTCTCTTTCTCTTGCCTTGAAGGAAAGACAAGGGCTCTACTTGGAACTCCCCAGAATATCACACAATTACATATAACTTCAATTCAATCGTGAAAAAGTCTGCCTTCATGCAAAGCAATGGGACAAAAACAGAACTGCAGAGCTTTCTAAATTTTTATGGCTTTTAAGGGACCAGAGACTCATCTTGACCACAGGGTAAAGCTCATTCATACCCAGCCTTTCCTATCAAATAGGTTATTTCTTTTCATCTCCATCTCTGCTGAAGAATTGAAAATCTGTCTCCCTGAAGCACAGAGGTTCTTACTGGCACATTTTCCCATATGCAAAGGAGAAAAACACCTATTTGGTACTTTGGTGCATGCGTGCAAACTACGTGCTTTGTCCCTGCTACTCCGGATTTCCTTGGTGTTCTCAGTGATCTGACATCCAGGGGGACACTTAGACCAGCAAAATGTTGGCATTCGACTTACATCTCTAAAAGGCTCAAGTTTCGCTTTAGTTGACAGCAAGCTGTAGTTTCCTTCATAGTGATTCAGAACTGAACTGGGAGCCTTCACTTCTCCATGTCTCTAGATGATCTCTGAAGTTAGATGTTGTGAACATTATATGGGATTAATGCCTTCTCTCTTCCTTCCCCAGGTAAACAAAGCAAATGGCCTCTTCTGCCTGGCCCATCTAAATTGTCACTTTGATTAATCGAACTCTTCTCCCGCCAAAGTTGGAGTGCACAACTGGTGCAGAGCACAAACTCTCAGGGCTAGACATGTGAAGAGGAGGAAGCAGCATCAGAAAGATAAACCACAAGATAAGGCCTGGAGGATGTGAGATCTGCTGCTTTGTATCTTCAGAGCGCCCAAAAGAAGAAACTTGTATGCAGAATTAGTTTTCAAAAAATAAATATTGCAGACCAAGACCAAATTGTGAAAACTTGCCTGCATTTCTTCCTCCAGCAGGCTCAGTGGCATAATGAGCCACACAAAGGGTTGATTTAACAGGAAATTAGAAAAAATATATAATATATTTTAGAAAAAATAATCAAAATAGATGAATAGCAGTTTATCAAAAGCAGTGTAAAACGCAGCAACACGAGCGGGATGGATGGTCACTCTGTCTGTGAATACCACCACTGTGGTCGGGCTCAGGGACCCAGGATACGTTTGGCTTCTCAGTGTTTAAGTCCAAAAGTTTAAGAGACAGTGCTGGACTCAAGAAGGTTGGCACAGAGGGGTCTGAGTGCTCAAAAGATACCCCAACCAACCTGAGAGTGGTTGGTGTGCTCAATAATGACACCTCAAAAGCATGGCCAAGCCCCAACGCCAGGTCTAAAGGCCACAACAGTGCAGCCCTGTCATCCCCAGTCAAGCACTACATTTCTGCAACGGGGCTGAAAGCAGACACAACTGGTTGAAAAGTCATGTAACCCAATTTCCTTGCAATCGGTTGCCTGAAACTCATATGCATTTGCACAGTGCTAGAAATCTCTTCTGTTTCATTTTGTCTGTGGCTGTAATATCAGAATCTGACTGGAACACAAAGTTAAAATGCACTGAGGGGGAAGAAGGAAAAAAGCCTTGAAGCCAAATAACTTACGACATGAAAGCTTTGGATTTTACTAGCCTTCATGAGTTTCAGATGTCATAAACTGTACAGGTGCAACTATCTCAGTGCTCTGTACCCATATGAACTCTGTTACATTCAAGTGAACAGAGATCCAACAAATACTTCCAGGTTTATAGTAAATCTTCATAAAGAAACTGCCCATATTTCCCCCATATGCAGGCACAGCTGTGCAGAGGCACATCTGCTTGGGAGACTTTAACAGGGATCTTTGATTTCACAGTTTAAGATCCTTAAGCTCGACGGCAAATTATGATAAAACTAGGAATATCAGTTCCTGTCTCCAACAGAAAATATAAATCCCTCTTTGATTAATATTGATTACAGGAAGGAAACAAAACACTTGTATTTACCCATGTGACAAGAAAGTCATTCACTGCAATAAACATCCAGAGGTTAGGAGGTTTGGAAAGGTACATGATACTGCTTGTAAGCAACTGAGAAATGACCGAGCTCTGACTGCATATACAGTTCACACATCCACGGAGCTGCCAGCACACCACGGTGGGTTATGAGCTTGTCAGATTTATAAATTAAAAAGAATCTTGTCTGTTAAGTTATGGCAAACTTGATGGTGATGTGGTGATTGCTATTTATTATCACGCTGTACCCTTAAGTATCCAGTTTACATACACAAGCCCAGCTCAACCAAAGTAAACACATTCATTGATTTAACAATTTATGCCTTGATTTTAAAAGGGGCTGAGCCTGCAGGGTAATGTTTAACATATCTTTGAAGTCAAGCACAAATCAACCCTGTGAAATTACTAGTATTAATCACATGCTTAGAACTGAGCAGAAACATCAGCATTTTCCCGGCCTGGGCTTCCTGTAGCAAGTCATGAGTGCAATGGGAACAGCTGTAGAATGCACCCCAACTTTGCTTATTGAAAACTGTAACTGTGACTGAGCCAGACAGGTGCCATGCAGTTACCAGCAGTATCACACCAATACATCACAACCCTGACTAAAAGCCTGGCTTTCCTTCAGGATACTACCTGAAATGAGCAGGAAATGAGTGAAAAGCCTGATGTGGCCCCAAACAGCTACAGTCCAGCTACTCAGCCATTTCTTTACCGCAGACTTTGTGCAGTGAAGAAGCCCTTCCATGGATCAGCTGCAGGCCAAATTTGGTTACCCTCATCCCTACCAGCCTGGATTTGGTTTGCTGATTTCACCAGCATGAATTCCCTTCTCACAACCACAGGTAGGACCAGAACCAGAGTTTTTAATAGCACTACAAGTAAAATATCAGAGATAGAAAATTTTGTGCCTGGACAGAAATCAGCCCAATTCAGCAGGGAGCTCCTGCTTAAACTCATTCATCCTTTCTCTTTAGAGTTACAAAGCTGATCAACACATCCTTTCTACAGCCACAGCCTTCAAGAGGGCAAACGTTTTCTTCAGCTCATCCCCACTGCTATGTAATTCTGATGCCCTCCTATCTCCTTATCACACCACAATTACATCTGGTACCATTTCCTATTGGTGTCACATATCCAGGACAAAAAGGAGGTAGAAAGTTACTGATAGTTTTGCTCATCATCTATGGTAAGTTATGTATAAAGCAGGCGCTAGACTGAAAATAACGTAATGAGTGCTTGAATCACACACAGGTGAGGTCCTCTGACCTGCATTTCATGGGAACTCGTTCTGCAGGAACCTGGGGCATCAAGGCTCTGAAACGTTCACCCACAGCACTGCAAATCTAACATAGTCTGCTATTGATTTCAAATCTCAGCTTGGTTGGTCTCTGAGCCTGAAAGCCAGGCATGATATCTTTACATCTTGAGCATCTCAAAACACCCTAACCAACAGAGAGCCTGTTTTCAAGGTAAAATGAGCTCAGTTGGAATTTAGGTCATCTAGACATCTTATGACAGAGCTGGATCACAGGAATTCAACATTTAGCCCAGAAAAAAGTACCAAATATTTTTGTTCAGTTTCTGAGTTTTCATAAGCCAGTTCAAACCAACTTCTCAAACTTCCTCACCACCGTCCAACTTCAGACATCTCATGCACATCCACAGTCACACACAGAGCCACAAGCTCCCTGTTTCCGGGTCAGCCCCCGTCACAACTTTCCACTGTAAACCAGCCCATTTTTCCCCATGCATTTCCTCTCCAGTCCTTACCTGGACCACAGGATGGCCTCCAGTCGGGGCCTTCACAGCCCCTCGGCTCCCCTCTGTCTCGTAGTGCGCGCGGTGGTGGGGCTTGGGCTGCACCTCGATGCGCAGCTCGTAGGAGCCAGACTGGCTGGAGAGCGGCCACTCGAGGGGCGGCAGAGACTGGACGGGCAAGCTGGGCACAAGAGACAGGCAAGCTGAAGCTTCCAGCACTTTACTTCTCAAAGCCCTGATACATTTGCCCACCGAAGACCCCACCAGCACTGAAGTTATGCAAACTAATGTGAATTTTTTGCATGGCACAAAACTAGTGAATCACTTCAACAACGTTTCTTCCAAACCCATATCTTTCATCCCTTGCAGTCATAGGAATTGGACTCCCATTAACCTTTGCTGTCCCTAAGCACATAGCTCTGCTTTACAGCAGGATCTGCCCTAAGGATCACAGTACATGGGATAGGGCATTATACCATCGGAGAACCCACAACCACGAGAAGCGTTACATACCTGCAGATAGGTATTGCTGGCATCAGTTGCTTTGTCCAGGACGGAGGAACCAACAGAATCGATTCTGGCGCTGAGTTTCTCCTGTCCTCCTGCTCGCAGGGCCCATGGAAGTCAACAGTCTGAAAGACGTGGCACGGAATGCTGTTTTTGTGGGAAGGCATTGATGAAGGGTCAGGGCTGGTTTTCCAAATTTTGGTGGGAACACCACAGGAAGGATCTGTAGGAAGGCTGTTCATAGCATCCATGGAAAGAGGAGCGCTGGACAACTGCGTGTAAGTAAGCGTAGAGCTGTCTTCCCTCAGGGGGATGCGTGGAGAGGACTGTGGAGAGGGGGTCCTTGACTGTCGTGGAGAGGTGGAAGGCTGCTGAGTGCAAGAGTACCTCCGTTTTGCACCTGGTGATGAAGACCTTGAGTTGGGACGTGGTGATGGTGAATGTTGTCCCAAGCAGGTTTCCTCCGTGATGCTTGTTCGTGGTGACATTATTGGAGAGGTTCTAGGAGAATAATGAGTATGGATGTTTTGAAACTGCGGACAAAGGTCATCACTAGGACCATTATTTGGTGAAACACATGGTGATGTGCAAGGAGATAAATTTGTCTCTGAAATGAAACTTGCAGAAGAGCCGCTACTAGCTGGGCTCAGACACAGTGGTTCTCTGTAGCCCTCAAAGCCAGGGACGGGCAGGGTAACCCTTGGGCTAGTGGTAGCTGAGTTTGACTGATGTTCTACCAAAAGAACATCGGTGTCTCTGCTGCGGAAGGGACCCCCTGAATTAATCAGTTCAGGATATGAAGTAATTTCAATCCTAGGACTCGGAGCAGAGGCCCCTGCGGCGCTCGCAGGGTGTGTAGGTGCTGTCCCTATGCTATCTGGCTGTCCATATCTGCCCATGGGATCTGCAGAAAGGCTAGGAAAAGGCAGGGGGCATGGCTTGAGGCCACAGTCCAGGACATCATGAGCGTATGCAACTCCAGAGGGTGGGCTGTTGGTTTTATGTGGAGTCGGTTCTTCTGGAAAAAGAAGGGTCTCTTTAAGACTATAAATATTATTACAGAAGCTGAGCAATCGCGGATTAAAAATATGCATATTTATATACTGCTTGTGATCAGATATTAGGTAAATATTTGTTTAATTATTTTTAACTGCAATTAATACTTGTGAAAAGTACTGGATTAACAGCCAGGGAAGCTCAAGGGCAGATGAGGCACGGACAGAAGCACTGCCAGCACCTCCACGCTGCCCTGTGGGCTCCCACGACCCGAGCCCTGAGCTAGAGGGGTCACCTGAGGGGGTACACAGCACATCAGCTCTCTGCTGGCCTTCCTATTCATTTGGACAACTATAGCCATCAGCACCAATGGGGGCATGGTGATTCTGGTCAACCTTTATCAGCTATGAGCTGGAGCGAGACTGTCTCATCATGAAACCTCTTCCAAGTAAGCCTACATAAAACCAAAATGTTGAGGAACAGCTTTCAGTGGAGAGAAAAATATTTCTTATGCATCAAATCCCAGTTAAAAAAAAAAAATAAATAAAAAATAAATAAAAAAAAAAGGCTTCATGAAACCAATGCTGAGTTCAAGTTCTTAATTAAAAAGCCACTTGTTTGGGTCCATATCACCCCAATGAGTTTTAGTGACAAGTTTAGCACAGGAAAGCACCGGGTGATCAGAAATCAGTACGTGTGCCACACAAGGAGTGCCTCACTAAAGTATTCAAAAAACAGCTCCAACGTCTCCACCTCCCACCCTGCACAAGGGAGCTTTTCCCATGAGCAGTACATTGCGTGCAGAGCCAGGCCGGACACAACTGCACTTTGTGCAAAAGCAGAGAAGCTGAGAAGCCCATAGTGATGCTTCCACACACAGCAACTGTGATTTAATTTCAGGGGTTTTCTGTTAGTTTTCACTACTGAATTCCTCTGAACACAAAAGCAAAAACCTCCACAGATGGGTTTGTAGTGTATGTAAGGAAAAGTTCAAAGCCACCTTTACTTTTTGATAATGAACCCCATTTTCTCCTCCAAAGTGACAGCATTTCCCAAGTATGGGACTCAGCTCTGGGAGGAACTTTTGGTAAAATTAACTCAGCCTGAAGAGCGTGCAAATGAAGACAGAGCCTCAGCACGGACTGCTGCTGCTTTTTGTGCTGAATGTTTTGCACAACCTGGAGAAAACTCTGTTTAAAGAGCAATTTCACAGGAACTGCTGAGCATAGTGTTTATTGAAAAACACCAACCAGCCAACCAACCCCAGCCACACAAAGAATCTACGTGGGACGGAACCAGAGATGACTGGGAAGCCCAGTTTGCAGAGCTTTTAAGGTTCCCTCTGGCACTTAATCCTGGCCCATCGATCCTGGGGGGTAGGGAAAAAGCAACAAGTAGCTGAACTTGGAGCAGCACACTTCTTTGCACATTATCTCACTCGTGGGAATTCCCGTGTCACTCACATCACCCAGATTCTGTTGCATCATACCCAGATATTGGTGTGGCTCAACCCCCCGTAGGGCTCAGTAGAGCAGCGCACCTCTTGGCTGTCACAAAAACATCACTCCCACTGCTTGCAGAAGAATAATTCAGATTTAAATTGCTGCAATAAAGCAAAATTAGCACCAAACAGAGTGAGGCTTGAAATGAGATTCACACCACCACCAGTACTCGCAGCTTCAGCCAAAGATCAGGGCCGCCCTGCTCCCCGCAGCTCCAGCAGCAGCTGCCCCACACATCCGCTCCTTATCTGTGCCACGGCTGCTGGGCAACACGCAGCAGGGACAGCACTGCAGCTCCTCACAGCTCGTGCCGAGCTCTGAAGCTGGTGTGTTGAGATTGGCACTGGAGGGTGTGAGGAAAGCAGCAAGATACTTGGATGTGCACATGTAATTTTAAGGTCTTGCAAACAACTCCCCCTCTTTCTGTTCATTAAAAATCAGCCTTCAGATGACTTTAGTTTTGCCTTTCACAGAAATACTGTGTCTAAATGAGCAATTTCACCATTCATATTCACCCTCCCAAGGAAGATCCATGCTCCAGATGTCAATAACCCCACTTAAGAACAGCAACAAGCTGCAACACGACCGTGCCTCCACACGGCATTCCTCACAGCACTGCAGTGCTTCGTGGCCACGCAAAGCCAGATTGCTCACACTGCTAGCAGGGAGAGAGCACGGCAGGCACCCTGTGCCAAGCAGACAACACCCACAGCCTTCCCCAGAGCAAAAACATTTCTCTACCCCCCAGCCCTGCCCCACCGTCCAGTTATCGATACAGCAGGCAGCAGCACCGGGATGGGACTGGGCTGCAGACAGTAGCAGGGCTGCATGGGGCTGAGGCTCAGCGCCGGGGCTCCAGTCCCTGCAGGATGAAGGTTTTTTGGGAGAGTCCCAGGCCCTGCGTGCCTTCATTGCTGTGGCGAAGTCACTGTCCCAGGCACTGCTGCCCACGCCTGTGATGCTACAGCGCAACACGCTGACTTCACCGGGAGGGAAAAGGGGCGGCTGGGCAAAGCAGCAAGCGCTGCATTCCAGAAATAGAATTCTGCCACTGAAATCAGTAGTTTTTGTTTGTGTCGCAGCAGGAGCAGGGCTGGCTGCTCTCAGCTCACTGCCAAGGCACAGAGCAGCCTGAGCTGTGGGACCCGTGTGAAAACAGCACAGGGTTTGTTCTTCCAAACAGTGTCAGGGAGAGAGAAAATGGGGTGTAGGGAAAGGTTCCCCTTCTGCTACACCAGTAAGAACGTGCAACAGCCCGGGGATGCAGCAGCGCCTGTGCATCTCCACGAGGTGGGGAGGAAAAGCTGCCCCCAGGAGCAGAGGGCAGCAAACCCCTGCCCAGAGGTGGTAGGCAGCAGGAGGTGAGGGGCCACTGCATCCGCTCCAAGAGGGCTGTTGGGACCAAGAGACCTAAACGTGGTGTTTTTCAAGAACCAAAGTAGCTTTAAAACCATTATATAGAAACTCTGAAGGTGCAGCTTTGCACCCCGGGTTCTGCCATCTCCAAGGATTCGTCCGTTCCTGCATCCCAGCATACACACCAGGCTCCTCCTGCAGACAACTTTTTGACCACAGTTGGACAGATGTCACAGGGAGCGACCCAGCTCCTGTGGCACCTCCACGCCACAAGCGTTATTACAGTGCTTCCCCACCTCCCCTCCCCTGGGCACTTCTCAGCCTTTGCTCTTGCTGCTGAATCACCCATTGATTCACCAACAAAACGTTCTCATTTGAAAGGGAGTTTAAAGAAAGCTTCATATCCAGGCAACACCGCACCTCTTCACACCCCGTCAGCTTCAGCAAACTCCGTCACACTCCGCCTGGACTCCCAAGGCTCAGTAAGTCCCAGCCCTGCTCGGGATGCTCCAAGCCCCGCAGCGCTGCGCCCGCGCTGACACTCCAGAGCTGCCGCTCTGCCCCGCAGTCTTTACGCACAGTTCAAAAGACGATCTTTCCTCCTCTCACAATAGCAAAAGGAAGCAGGGCTCTGCACGTCCCATGCAATTCCTGAACAGCACACCAGATGCTGCAGACACACGACTGCTACCAGCAGCTCAACTACCCAGCACGTGGCCCCACAGTCTCCCCAGGTGCTCTCATCAGATGCAATTAAGAAGGAGAGTTAAAACACGGGTGGAAAAGATCAAGGGACTGAAGTTCCAAAGGATTTCACCTTTTCACACGCAGTGAAGGGACCTGCTGGCCCCGAGGCATTTCTGCGTCCCTGGGTGCGTGGATTCGGGGTGGCAGTGGCCCACTCTGCTACTTTTTTAAAACAAGGCAGCAGCCTCAAAGCCATTCTGTCAGCCAAATTCGACTTTCCCAATTAGCACTAAACCAAGGATTAACAGATCATCAGAGCAACTGCTCCATTCATCAGAGCAACTGCATTCCACGATGGGTTTACACAAATCATCACCTAACAAAAGCCGAGGATAGCAGCTGTGTGCGGGAGGGGGAGCTCAGGGGAGAAGCACAGCTTTGTCGTCATCCATTTGCAGCAGGGCATCTCCTGTGATTTAAATGGAGTTACTTATTTCTAAGAGAGTCCAACAGTTTTCAAACTGCATATTGTCACTGCAAAGGGCCAGTGCCAAGCTCGTGGCGGTTTTCAAAGCTGAGCATTTTGCTATTTACACTGACTGCTTGGAAGCTTGAAGTGAAAGTCGGTTTCCTGAGTGAAATCTGGTATTCTCTGCTACATGTGCATATTTGTTTCCTTACTGTAGGGCTGCTGCAGAACACTGCGTCCTGTGTTACTGAGCCAGGTGCAGCACCGAGCTGCAAGCCCTTCTTCTCCTTCTGGTAGTTTTGTACTGGGGAGGAAAGGAAGGACTATCCAGGTTGTGATAGCTATGAGAGGTGGCAATATCCCTGGTCTGTCTACGCACAAACATTTAGAAGAACACTAACATTTACCAACATTCCCTGCTTCCCCTCCATACAGGTTATGCACACAGCCGCTTCCTCTAAGTAGATCCTTACTGCAACATGTAACAGCAG